AGATATTTGAAAGAAGAAATGAGAATAGATAAAAGCGAGAAATGCTTTCTTTGGTCCGACAATCAAACGGTCCTTCAATTTTGTACAAATCGATTGCAAGAAATTCGTAAGCGTCGAAACGACATTGCAATAGAGTTTTGATATGTGCCGGCAGAAGATAATTCAACGGACGTTGCTTTTCGAGGCTGAACTCCTAGTGAACTGCAACAGAGCTGGATATGGCGGCATGGTCCCAAGTGGATTGCGTCTGGGGAAGAAGTGCGGCCAAAGTGAAAAGCAAAGGTTTGCACTCAAATGGAGAATTATGAGATGGAGTCGCAAGAACCGACGGAAAACCAAGAAGGTGAACAGGGCGTATTTGCTGTGCTAGTAACTGCTTCAATTCCGCCAGCTGTTGACTGGGAACGATTCTCAAAATGGTCACGATTAAAAGCGGTCATGCAAAGAGTCTGTCATTTCATCTACCGAATAAAAAAGCAAGTTTCTCCATCAACTTCTTTGGCTAAAGCAGAACGTTGGCTCATTCGAGGATGTCAGAAAAATCAGGACTCGACGGACCAACGGTGGCGGTTAGTTCCAGATAATGAAGACATTCTGCGTTGCGTAGGAAGATTCACCGCGCTGGTTCATGAAAAGGCTCGTCTATCTGCCTACCTCATCACGCATATATAACCAAACTACTGATTGAGCAAGCTCATCGTGACGTTTTACATGGAGACGTTTCTCTTACTCTGGGTAAGATATGAGAAAAATTTTGGTTTGAGCGAGAACAGTGGGGAAAATCATAACACAATGTATGGCATGCAAACGGAAACGTGCACGTCCTTTTGCTTTACCGCCAATGGCGCCGTATCCAATCGAAAGAATATCACGTACCAGACCCTTTGAACATGTTGGATTGGATTACTTTGGGCCATTCAACGTAAGAGCCCGCAGCCAAGTTGAAAAGAGATGGATTGCATTGTTTACATGTTTCAGCACAAAAGCAATCCATTTGGAGGCTGTTATTAGATCTCACGGCAGAAACTTGTCTGCATGTGTTTCGTCGATTTGTGGGCTGCAGAGGCTTCCCAAAATCCGTATACAGCGATCGTGGTTCTCAGTTAACAGTTGTTGGTCATACTTTACATGCGACACTCTGAAAAGCAAGCAGTTCCGAAATAAGGAGTGAAATTCTTCAAAATAAGGAGTGAAATTGGAGCTTTACTACTCCCCATGCGCGAAAGGCGGACAATATGAAATGATGATTGGTCTAGTGAAAGAAGCATTACGACAAACCGTTGGAAATAAACTTCTTACAGAGCAAAATTTTGGTACTTTGTGCCTGGAAGTAGAAGCTGTGGCGAACAGTAGACAGCTCACCTATACAGACGAGGACCCTCAGTTAATTCTACGACCCATTGACTTTTTGATTCCACATGCGCAAGTATCGATGCCACTCCCCGTCGAAAATTCCTGTGAATTAGAGGATCTGTCATACAGAGGAAGTGGTAGCGATTCGTGCGATAAACTGATTTCTCTATGTCATAAAACAGCGGCAGTGGTGGATACCTTTTGGGATTTGTGGCATCGTCGCTATTTAAACGAACTGAGAGACCGTGAAAAACGTTTGCAATATCGGACCTCGTTTACGTGTCCAGCGTCAGCCAAAGAAAGGCGAAGTGGTCCTGGTGAAACAAGAAGGAACTACACGTAGCTGCTAGCCCATGGGCCGCAGACAAGTCCACGGTACCGAGGAAAATATCCGTACCACCACTGTGATCATAGCAGATAGTCGTACTTTGCAAAGATCGATCAGCGCATCATATCTTTTGGAAATATTTACCGAAGCAGCTAAAAGAGCGGACTCCGATCTTGAAGAGGAACTTGGACAATACCTTCATGGCAACAGTCTTGTGGAGTGGGGGCGAGGGCGCAGTACAGATAGCGCCCAAAGCAAACGATTCAATCTCCCATTTCTTACTGTCTGATCTAAGAATCAATAATAACATTTCAGAGGTGTTGTTCTTATGAAATCTGCGTTTGTGGTAGTTTTTGTGCCTTTTATTCATGAAAAAATTTGAGAGAAATTTTTCGCTTTTCATATTACTGAAATTTGTTTACCTGCTTTATGAATTTTTCCGTGTATTTGCTTTTGATTGAAATTTGTGTACTTGCTGCGGTCGAAATCAAAAGGAAGCGAAGGATGACCCGGTCGAATTCATTATGCAGCCAGAGAGAATTCACAGGCGGGAGTGTCGCGAATGCGAGGAAACAATGCTGATCGATTATGACAGTATATTCGCCGCCCAGTGAAATGGGCGGGAATGTACTTTAGGGAGATCAGCAATGGGTTCATGGCCGGGACCTCTGCCATTCGGAAGAAACGGTTCGTGACAGCGGCGGTATCGCGACAGCGGCGGACTTGGGAAGAGGAGCGCCGGACTTGCCAACAGCAGCGGTACTTCCCGACAGCGGCGGCTTTTGAGATTGTTGGTGATTATTTTGGAGTGTTCGACTCAGAGATAAATTCTGTACTCGATAAGTTTGCTACAAGTTATTTCGAGTACAGCCGCCACCTCCAGTCGTAGTTTGCATGTCAAAAAACTATCGTCACTGGCTTTATGAAGCTGATGCTTGGGTAATGCTCAGGGCTCTCAGCTTGTCTAAGCATCACTTACACCTTATTTGTTTTCAGCTTTCTTCACTCGAGCGTCAGCTTTATAAATAAGGATGTTCCCTGTTGATGGCGGGTTTTTCGCTTGCTTTTTTCTTGCTTTCGTCCTTTCCAGCTACCACTCCCTCCCCTTTCCTTTACGTGGCCTAGGCAACTGCCAAAGGATTTACGCCACGCAGCCGTTCATTTTACTCGCCCAACCTCTCTCCCCCTCCCTCGAGTCCCTGCGCGCGGAGGCCGCATACACCCTCCTCGCCACACCCATTCCACCTCCCCTCCCCCCTCCCATCTTATCTTTGGAATTCGACATTCAAGAATGTGCCCATGCATTGCCAACTCTCTTCTTTCCTCCTGTGTTCTCTGCAGTGCACCTCTTTCCCGAGCCGTCTTCGTACCCCGCGTATCCTCTGAAAAAAACAGCAGTACGGATCCTCCTCCTTTCCGCCTATCACCCCCTGTCCTCTCCCTTACACGGCTATGCCACATTCCCACTCACCCACCCAGTCAACTCTTCCCCCGTGCCTCCAGTCACCGCACCCAGCACTCGGCAGCTTCCCCACTCTCATCACCGCCATTTCATCTGAGGCTCCAGAGTCCCTCGTGATAATGGAGCAGCAGGACCCCGACCGGTCGCAGATTATGTATGGACCCAACCGAGCCAAGCTGAGTCGAGTTTTGGTATCTACCGGTTATGCTTGCTGGGGGTTAAAATTCCACGCTGGTCCGTGGTGCAACACGTCCGTTCCAGCGGGTACCCCCTTCCTCCTGCATGCATGAAAAGGCTAGCATGAATTCACGTGTTAAACTGTCGTGCAGCAGCTATTCATCGTGTTGACGATCTAACTGCTTCAAGTTTAGCTCGAAGAGGCGTGATCGCACTGGCAAGCCTAATTCGTTGCTACCTGTGTTTTCTTTAATGTGCGGGACAGGAACACACGTGAAGACTGCTTTAAATTTCTTTGGGCCGCACATGCACAGAGGGCATTCTCGTGAAATTTCAGTTTTCGACTTGACTGGTTCCTGTAGTCGCTTCCCGTCAAAAATATTTTTACTGTATCTATATATGGAAGATAAGAAGGCACAAAACATTCATTTTTCGTCTGGGAAGCCTACTC